CACAATCCATTTCAGAACATTTCCTTCTTTTTTAAAAATCATTTTATTGGGGGTTCATACAACTCTTATCACAATCCATACATATATCAATTGTGTAAAGCACATTTGTACATTCATTGCCCTCATCCTTCTCAAAACATTTGCTCTCCACCTAAGCCCCTGGCAACATTTCCTTCTTGTATTCATTTTTGTTACCCTCCCACTTCCCCCCATCCTTCCTTGCCAGGCAATGATCATTCCAGTTACTGTCTCTGCAAATCTACTTATCTTGGATTTCATATATACAAAATCATACAAAACACAAACAGGAAGCAAGCAAAAAACAAAAACAACATTAATGCCCCAAAACAATGACTAGACAAAACAGAAAACCCTCAATTAAAAAGAAAGCAGAAAAAATTAAAAACTAAAACAACTTCAAAATTGATCAAAAGGGAGATCAAATGATATGGTATTGTATGGTATTACATTTATACTTAACTACATCTGCCATATCAACTTTACAATACTCTCTGTGTGATAACAATTCTATTAACATCCCTGAACTATGGCCATAGGCTATTCACCAGAGGCTTGATCCATAGGCATCGGATCTGGCAAATGGATTTTGGGCTTCTAGTGTCAACCATAACCTTCTGCAAACTAGGTATTCAGAATTTAAGCTCTGAAACCATTCACTCCTTTAGATTTGGATTCTATTATTTACAATCCTTGGATCACATAGGCTGGTGTACTTTTACCATGTGGATCTAGTTGATGCCTCACTTAAAAGGCTGCATGTTTGAAGACAACCCTTTAAGGTCTCAGAAGGTATTGTTTCTGGTAGCTGGGCACCATCTTGTTTCTGCACCACACTTTGTTATAGAAGCCATATTTTCAGTGATCTCTTCTTGAGGATGAGCACTGAACAGGACCATGCCATAAGAACTTGTTATTTCTTAGGTTGGAGCTAGAATTAAGTGTGGGCTCCAAATCTATTTAGATATCTGTGTCTGATCTATGTCTCTGGTTCACATTAGAGACATTGCTATTGCTTAATGATAGAGAACCTTATAAATAATTCTCCTGAGTCATAATTTAATTCTATTGACAGTGTCCTTAATTTAGCTAATGGTATAGACTTTAAAACATTGTTGGGGAAAGATTATAGTATACAAGTATAAGCCTATATACGAATAGGCCAGCTTCTTGCTAATTTGAAGTGTGCTACAATGAACATGGGAGAACATTTGTCTGGCCGTGTCCTGTCTCTTATTTTGTTGGGATTTATACACAGCAAAGGTATTGCTGAGTAGTGTGGAGTTTCATTTGACAGGTGTTTTATGTATTGCCATATTGCTTTCTCGAATAATTATTCATATGTATCAGCCTACCAGGAGTGTATGAGTTCTATGTTCTCTGTACCCTCTGTAGTTTGAGACTGTAACTTTTTACAGGAGTAGAAAGCCTTGTCTTTTCCTCATGGAAGGGCTGGTGATTTTGAACTGCTGACGTTGAGGTTAGCAGCCCAATACTGGGCTTTGTGGTGTGAGGTGAACTGAGGAGTTATGGGTTTCTGGGAAGAGAGCTTGAGAGGGTAATAGAAGAAAGGCTAGAGCCTACAAGAAGCCAGAGGTCTCTAGGGCTCGAAGCCCCAGGGGTGTGATAAGTAAATAGGGGTTGATGGGAGTGTTGGGGAGTGCTAGATCCCTGGGGAGATTTTATTGGGAGGTCTCTGGGGAAACATGGAGTAGGGCTCCTAGAACCCTGACTAGGGATCAGTGAGCGGACATGTGCCTAGGGGGGAAGGGGTGGACTGTGAAGTTCTTGGAACTCCAAGAGAGCCCTCGTCTCACTGTGTTAACAAGAAGCTGGGGGTGGTAGTAGGAGCTCTGCTGTCAGGCACAAAGGTGATAGAACTATCAAATGGTGGCAGGTGTTAGATGCTATAGCCAGTGAGTGTAGTCACTAAACATGGTGCCACTGCATGATACTAGATCCAGGAGGGAGAATCAGCCTAGTGTGGGGTGTCTCAGAATGGAAGTTTGGGAGAATCTCAAAGGAAGTTCTGAGAAGAGCTTAGTATAGAGCAAGCACAGAAAAAGCTCACAAAACAAGGGCATTGTTGACATTGATGCTGGTATTTTATTCCCCCAAGTCCCAGTCCCAGTGCTCACCTGGCTGACTCCAAAGGGACAGAGCAGTTGGAGGAGGTGTAGTGACTACATTGAACTTCAAGTGGGACAGAACAGGGATCTCAGACCTGCTGATCCCTTTTGAGATGGACTGTCTCAACCCTTCAGCCCCATAGCCACCGTGTTGGAGAAGTTGAAGAGTGTGCTCAAGGTCATTCAGTGGGTCTCAATTGATTGCTGGTTACATCTTCCCATACTCCTTTTTCCGAAGATCACTCCGTTTGATCTTGCCTGTAATGGTTTTGGGCAGCTCTGGGACAAACTCCACCTGAATGAGGAGAAAGCAAACATAGCCTGGCTTGGTCCTGCTGTTTAAAAAAAAATATATTTTTTTACACTTTCCACTGTGTTCCTTGTCCCCTGTACAGACCTCAGAGAGGTGACACCATGTGGTGACTTACGTCCTCTGACTCTATGAAGGTGGATGTGGTCATGCGATTTACTTTGGCCAGTGAACTATATAGGTGGAGGTGAAGTGTGTCACCTCTAGCAAAACGAGTTTAGAACCATTGAGATGGAAGACTGGTTACCTCATCCTGCCATTGACCATAGCACTTGTCAGTTGTCTACATATATGGTGGCTGCTCTTTTATCCTGGTGCCACAGTGACAGGATGTGGAGCAGAGCGCCCAGCAGATCAGGGTAATGCACTTCGATTATTATTGGGCCCTAATACCTTGGGATGGTTTGTAACCCACAGTATAATGCAGCCGACTGACTATTATGCATCATCTATGGTATTCTCTATGAGGCAGGGTTGCTATTGGTGTTAGTTGCTGTAAAGTCAGCTACAACTCAAGGTGAGCCAATGGATAACAGAATAAAATGTTGCCTGGTCCTAGGCCATCTCCATCACCTTCATGATCATTGGGATGCTTGAGCCTGTGGTTTTAGCCACTGTGCATTTTCAGGGCCTTCCAATCTTGGGGACTCCTTTCCCAACACTTGATCAGAAAATATTCTGTTTTGATATGTTACGTTTTCATTGGCTCATTTTTGGAAGTATATCGCCAGATCTTTGTTCCTGTTCTACCTTAGTCTGGAAGCCCGACTGAAACCTGTATACATTGAATGGTAGTGCTGATGTTTGCACTACTTGTCTGCAGTGTACTGATGGCTCGGTTACTGGGAGGATTGAGGCTACACAACTTAGCATGAAAAGCATGAACTTATTTGGCCAGATACATTTGGGTTTGAGTTCCATCTCTGATTTTTATTATCTGTAATTTCAGGTCACTTCTACTCCTGCAAAGAGGTACTGTCTCAGAAACCCACAGAGGCATTCTGCGCTGTCCCATAGGGTCACCATGAGTCAGAATTGACCCAACAGCAGTAAGATCGTCTACACTTTGCGATTATCTTAGTTTCTTCTATGTAGAATGGGATAGCTATATCACAGCAGGTTGTTGCAAGGGCTAACTGAATTACTACTACATTTACTATGGGGCATTGACTATGGGGCTTGGTACATTAAGCAAGTGATCAATCAATATTAGCCATATAGTGAAATAACATGTATTGATTGTAAAACTCAACCAATGTTGCTTAGTAGGTTAGCAGTCCAACAAGTAACCACTATGCCACCAGGGCTCCTGGATTGTGATGCCCTTGGTGTACTGTAAAATGAAGGTTGCAACCTGCATTTAAAAAAATAATCAAGCGGAATACAAACCATTGAATATATTGTAAGTTGTAAGTGTAAATATTTTGTTGGTTACCTGACTGTATGCATATATAGGTATTGGGCTGCCTTGTGTTTCTAACTATGAATCATATTGTAGAAAGTTTGGGAGATTCTGATTTGGATTTCTTTTTCAAAATTTGTAGGATTGTAAGTAACCTACTTGTACATATATATTTGGATAGTTGTCTGACTTTTAAATTTAGGTTAACTTGCCAATATAGGGTTCATTTTGAGTTTCTAACAGAGAGGAGAGAAGTTCTTACCCAATGATGCCTGCTCCACCCCAACCTTATATCAAATTGCTTCATCAGCATTGGAAAATACCAGTGCTCTTGGTTCCCTGATCACCTTGGAGGACGTGGGACAGCTGAGCACCAGGATCAGTCAGCAGTAGCAGAGCCCATTCATCCTCCATGCTCACCTTTCTTGGGTACTTATATGGGGCTGTCACTATCTTGACATGTTGCTGTAGCTCCTTGGTAAGCTGGTCCTGGTCATGGGACTGGAACTGTGGAGTCAGGACGATAAATGCCTTCACCACCTGCAGCATTGGAGTGAAGTCACAGTGAGGGCCCATCAAATTCTACCCCCATTCATTCTGATCCATAACAAGAACTGCCTCACAGGGCTTACAAGGCTTTATAGAAGGAGATTGTCTCTCTTTCTCCTGTGGAATGTCTGGTGGGTTGGAACCACCAACCTTTCAGTTATCAGCCAAGTATTTGATCGATCTGCCACCAAATTTTTAACATTTATTGTATGAATGGAAAGCAAATTGATACTTGGACCATATGGTTGATATGATGACTCTGGAAAAGGAAAGGAACAGGCTTAAATATCAATACTTCCAATTCTATTTTATGCCCTTTGAAAATTATTTAATTCTCTTAACTTCAGTTTCCTACTCTATGAAATACGGACAGTAGAATTTCATGCCTTGCCAGAGATCTACAAAGATTCCAACGGACGATACAGGTGAAACATGTTTGTTCTTGTTAAATGCTGCTGAGTTGGATCCAACCCATAAGGACCCTATATACACCAGAACAAAAGCTTGGCCCATTCTGTGCTATCCTCACAGTTGCCTTTATGTTTGAGCCCATCATTGTAGACACTGTGTCAGTCTATCTCACCGAAGGTCTTCCTCTTTTGTGCTGTTTTCCTACTTCACATGCCTCCTGAAACCATGTCCAAAGTACATGAGACAAAGTCTCCCCACTCTCAATTCTAAGGAACATTCTGGTCATACTTTTTCCAAGACAAATTTGTTCTTATTCTAACAGCCCATGGTACTTTCAAGATTCTTCTCAAGCATCGTGTCAAATACCTCAATTTTTCTTTAAATGTCCTCATTCGATGTCGAATTTGCAAATGTATCTGAGGCGATTGAAAACACGATGACTTGGGGCAGGTCAACCCTAGTTCTCAAAATAACAGTCTTGCTCTTCAGCACGTTAAAGAGGTCTTATGCAGCATATATGACCAATTAAATGTGTCGTTTCATTTCTTGACTGCTGCTGTCATGAGTATTGATGGTGGATCCAAGCAAGATGACATCTTTGACAACTTCAATTTTTTACCCATTTATCATGGTAGTCCAACTGTAAGGATTTTTCATCTTCTTTACATTGAGTCATATTCTATAACAGCAGTTTACAACGTATGGGTCGTGACCCCTTTGGGGGTCGAATGACCTTTTCTCAGGGGTATCCCTATTCATAACAGTAGCAAAATTACAGTGATGGAGTAGCAACAAAAATAACTTTATGGTTGGGGGTCACCACAGCATGAGGAACTGTATGAAAGGGTCGCAGCATTAGGAAGGTTGAGAACCACTGTTACACACTGAAGGCTGCAGTCATTGATCTTCATCAGCCAGTACTTCCAATCCTCCTCACTCTCAGCCAGCAAGGTTGTATCATCTGCATATTGTAGGTTGTCAAAGAGCCTTCTTCCAATCCTGATGCAGTGTTGTTCTTTATTTAGTCCAGTTTCTCTGGTTATTTGCTCATCATACAGATTGAATAGGTATGGTGAAAGGATACAACTCTGTACACACTTACATAAACACCATTCCAGATTTTAATCCACTCAATATTCCTTTGTTCTGTTTGAACCGTTGCCTAACCGTACACATACAAGTTGTTCATGAGCACAATGAAGTATTCTGAAATTTCCATTCTTCTCAATGCTATTCACAAGGCTTGGTTTTTTTTGTTTTTTGTTTTGCTTCATGTTTTAATACTTTTATTGGCATTCAATTTAATAGTTCAACCATATGAAGAAGAGTTGTGCAATCATCAGCACAATCAATTTAAGAACATTTTCTTCTTTCTCCTATTCATTTTTGTTATCTCTGCATTTCCTCCTGACCTCCCCTGCCATGCCTCTATGTGATTATTAATTCAGCTACTGCCTCTATAGATTTACTTATCCTGGATTTAAGTACAGAAAATCTTACACTATCCATAGTCAAAAGCCTTTGTATAGTCACAAAACACAAGTAAACATCTTTCTGGTATCTTCTCTGAGCCAAGATACATTTGACATCAGCAATGAGAGCCCTTATTCCATATACTCTTCCGAATCTTCCTTGAATTTCTGGAAGCTCCCTGTCGATGTACTACTGCAACTGTTGTTGAATGATCTTCAGCAATATTTTACTTACATGTGATATTAATGATATTGTTAGATAATTTCTATATTGTGGGGGTTCAACTTTCTTTGGAATGAGTACAAATATGAATCTCTTCCAGTCAGTTGGCCAAGTAGCTGTCATCCAGACTTCTTGGCATAAACCAGTAAGTGCTTCTAATGCTTCATCAGCTAGTTGAAGTACTATAATTGATATTCCATCCATTCCTGGAATCTTTTATTTTGAAATGCCTTCAATGCAGCCTGAAATTCTTCCTTCAGTACCATTGGTTCTTGATTATATGCTACATCTTGAAATAGTTGAGTGTCAACTAGTACATTATGGTATAGTGACTGCATTCTTTCCATCCCCTTTTGATGCTTCCTGCGTCATTCAATATTTTGCCCACAGAATCTTTCAACTCAGGGTTTAATTGCCCCTACCCCCCACTAGTTCTTTCAACTTGCTATATGCTGAGTGAATTCTTCTTTTTGATTTCCTAACTCTAGGTCTTTCCACATTTCATTATACTACTTTACTTTTGTCTCCTTTAGCTGCACTTTGAAATGTTCTATTCGGTTATTTAATTTCATTTCTTCCATTTGATTTAACTGCTCTATGATTAAGAGCAAGTTTCAGAGTTGCTTCTGACATCCATGCTGAACTTTTCTTCCTTTCCTGTCTTTTTAAGGGCCTTTTGTTCTCTTCATTTGTGATGTGCTTGATGTCATTCCACAGCCTTTCAGTTTTGTCATTAGTGATCAGTGGGTCTAATCTACTCTTGAAATGCTCTATAAATTCCTGTGGTATATGTGTTAGTCTGGGTATACTAGAGAACAAATTCATAGACACTCATATGAGTGTAAGAAAGAGCTTTATGGACTTACGGGAAACTGGTGATTGAGTAACACATACCAGAGGGATCTCCGCAGAAATCAGCCAGGAGTTACCAAGAGGGAAATTCAACACTGCTGGATCGCAGGAGGAGCATCATAAAGATAAGGAGGCACAGATCAACAAGGTTTTGAGGGGCTGGGGGTTTTGGTTTATTACAGTGGAGGCCGGCTAGGATTTTACCTTAGCCCTGCCACTGTCTCAGCCAGAGCGGGGACCATTTGGAGGCGGTGCAGGGGTGTTATCTCAACACAGCCACAGTTTGCTGCCACCTCGTTTCGGAGCAGGGATTAAACCCTTGTAGCCCTGTGGGCAGGGATCGGGGCTCAGCTATATTGTTACTTTTGCTTCGCTCTCTTCTCTCTAGTCCCCCCACAATCTCAGCGGGTTTAGTTTTTTGTTTTTTTCCTCCTCTTTGTCTCTTTCCTGTTCTCTCACACACTATAGCCGACCTCCAAACCATTCCCCTTAGCCTGGGGCATTTACGCCTGCCACCCACCCAGTTAGGTGAGCTCCACAAGAGGCTGGGTAATGCCAGGCTGATCTCCACCAGGGGATCCTCCGCCCAACTTCTTACTGGGGAAGTCCTGCCTGTGAGGCTGGGGGAGCTACTATTTGTCCTCTGTGGGTTCGCATGACAGGGAAATTCCTCCCACCTACCTCAGTGCCTCACCATCCGAAGGCAGCTCTACAAACACTCGCTAAAGTTCCAAGCTACTGCAGGAACCTCTGCCCAACCTCCGCAGTGATCTACCTGGCCAGGGCAATTCTGCCCACCATTTGCAGTGTTCTACATCCAAGCAGGCAACCCAGCAG